AATATAATATAATATAATATAATATAATATAATATAATATAATATAATATAATATATATTATTTTATATATAATATAGTACATTATAGTACATATACTATATTATTGTATATATAATGTAATATAGTATATATAATAGTATAGTATGATATATTATAGTATATATATTACATAGTACATATACCATTATATATTATAGTATATATTATATAATATATTATCTATTACATTATAGTATATATTACATTATATATTATAGTATATTATATTACAGAACAGTATATTACAGCATAGCATATTATATTATAGTATGTTATAGTATATATCATAGTATATCATATACTATATATATTATATACTATATACCATCATTTATCATACATATATACATATACACTATCATATATACTATATATATGATATACCATAGTATATTATATTATAGAATATTACAGTATAGTATATTATACTATAGTATATTATATCATAGTATATTATTATATTACAGAATAGTACATTATAGTATATTATAATATATTATAATCATATTGTAGGATATCATATAGTATTTAACAGAATTAATATAACAAAATTAATAGAATAACAATCCTCTTGTTCACCCCTTTCAGCTGTTGAAGGGAAAATCTTTACAGAAATTAGTGGAGAGCACATTGGAATTACTGCTGGATCTGCCTCCTCCCAGCCCAAATAAATTTGATTTATCTTCAGCACATATTAATAGAATATTAATAGAATATTAACAGAATTACTAGAATAACATCCTTCTCGTTCACCCCTTTCAGCTGTTGAAGGTAAAATCTTTACACAGAAAGCACACTGCAATTACTGCATGAAACTTGAAAGAGCTTCTGAACTTGGCTCCAGCACAGGCTGAGGACAGGCAGAAGAGCAAGACAAGACTGGGACTGGGACTGGAAAAGCAGCTTGAAGCCACACTTGGTTTAAAACAGAAAATTCAGAGATTGTTTAAGGGGAACACAGGGAGCATCCAGTGCAATGCCTGAGCTCATCTGGGTCAACCCAGCTCGGGGCAGGGCTCAGGAAAAGCTGAATACACTGGTTGGGATCTGGATATACAGCTCACTTTGGGAACCTCTTCAGGCACAGAAATAACTTGGTCTCATATTTTAAAGCATTTGTTTCACACGGGAGTTTTCCATCAGCTCTGCTCTCTGGAAAAATCCTCGTGGCTCCCTTACAACTCCGAATATTCCACGCTTCTGAGACAAAAAAAACCACTTTATCACCTCCCTACAGGTGGCTTGGGTAAAACCTCACAGCTGCCTGACCTCACAGCCATCCACTGCTTTTTATTACGCTGAAAAACAGTTTTAAAATCATTCCCGGCTGCTTTTATCGCAGCCAGCTCCCCGAATCACCGCCCGCGCCCACCCACCCACCTTGTCCGCCGTGCTGGGCGCCGGCTTCAGCTTCCCTTTGGCCATCAGCATCGCGTTGATCTTCGCCGCCACGGCCGCGGCCGCATCCAGCGCTCCCGAGGGCGCCGCCGAGCTCTCGGACCCGGCCACGGCGGCGCCGCCATCGCCGCCCCCACCGGGGAACGGCCGCCCGGGCAGCGGCGCCGTGCCGGCCAGCAGGAAATTAGGCGCCGGGCCGGGCTGATCCCACTTGCTGCGGCGCCTGGAAAAGACAGAGGGAGGGTGAGGAGCCGCGCCGAGGGGCACCGGGGCCGGCCGAGCCGCCGCGGCCGCGCCTCACCCGCCCGCGGCCGCAATATAGTTAGAGTAATAAAACTTGGACAATTTGGATTAGGACAATACAAGACAATAAAGATTTATGGACAGTCCAGGTACCTTTTCCTGGGCAAAATAAGCCCGAAAAAGGACCCACGTTAACAGAGGATTAACCCTTTAAAGCAACAGCCTGTTCATGTTCACACAGCTCATCCATGGTGCACAAATTCCATTCCAACACAGGATTCTGTCTGGGCAGTGTCAGCTTCTTCCTCTGAATCCTGGCCTGAGGCAGGAAGAAGTTCGTTTCTTCTGATAAAAGAATAATAAATTATTTTTTTCGGAAAGATTTAGGTGTCCTGCGGCTGCTGTCTGGTGCAAGTACCTCATTCCTCTCTTTAAAAAAATATCTTACAGAGCACAGTTTCTATTTTAACATTACGTCATAACCTAAAACTATATTTAACACGCTACTTAAATTAATACAGCATAACTTTCTAACATAACACATATCTGCGAAAAGCCAATCATAAAACACGCATTTTTCACAGAAACCACTTGAATATTTGCGAAAAGCCAATATTATAACACGTATCTGTAACACGAGTGAACGGCTGGAGCTGCGTCAGCGAGGATTATGTCGGATTATCAGTAAATATTCTTCCCCCAGAGGGTGATGGCACTGCCAGAGCTCCAGAAGCGTTTGGAAAATGCTCTCAGGGTGGGGTTTTTGGGGTGCCAGTGCAGGACTAGGGATAAAAAAAATGAAATTAATAATCTTTGTAATTCCCTCACAGCCCAGAACATTCCACAAGCCCCGTCCCCTCATAGACGGGGCAGGAACTGCGCATGCGCGGCCGGCTGAGGGCAAGCCGCGCTCCCTGCGTTTGCGCACGGCCCTTCGGCTGAGCCCGCTGAGGGCAAGCCCCGCCCCCTGCGTTTGCGCACGGCCCCTCGGCAGAGCCCTCTGAGGGCGAGGGCGGGAAAAGGCGCCCTGAGGGTGAGGGCGGGCGTTTCTTTCAATTCCCTCGCTTCATCTCCATCTCCCTTCTCTTTCCTCACATTCTCCTGCAGTTTTCCCTCGATCATCTCACACCTCACCTCCGGGTTTTGTTGCCCGCTGCCCCGCGCTGCTGTGCGGTGTTGTGTCTTCGCGCTTTCATCCTCCGCCTGCCTCAGTTTCCCTTGAGGAAGCAGGTGGTGGTTTGTGGGCTGAGGCTGATGGGGGGGCGGCTCCTTCCTCACAGCGGGGCCTAACTCAGCCGGGTGTTGTCATCGGGGGGTTGCTGAGGGGAGCTCGGTGCCCTGTGGTGATCCAGACCTCATTTCTAACTTGGGGAAGGTGTTTTCCTCAGGTGTGGGTGCATTTGTTATTCCTGAGTTGGGGGGAAGGTTTGTGTGGAGTCAGGCTTAGGGTGGTGAGGATTCTGTTTCTCCCATACTCATTGAAATTAGAGAATAAAACGGCTCGAGTCTGGGGGTGTTTGAAATGTGGGGAGCATTTTCATGAAAATCCTGTAGGTTGTGCCTTTGGAGGTTCATATTTCATAGGATTACTGATACAAATGTTCTAATTGTTGCATCCTGTAGCCTCAGGGGAGGCCTGTGCTGCTGTGAAAATCAAGAATCTGATACTGGGGATGATTAGAGGAGCCATCCTGCTCCGTTTCCTGAAAAATACAGGTTTGTTTGAGCTGGTGAATTGAGCAGAAGGTGTTTGTAAATCCAGGGAATGCAGCCTTTTTCCTTCTCCAGGTGCTAATGCAGGTGTTTCATTGACAGGCACGGGAGTCTCTGCAGAATGGCAACTGCTCAGAAGCAAAAGAATTCTGTGGTACGGTTTTGTTTGTGTATTTCAGCACAATAATAATGGGAAAAATGGGGGAGTTTTGGCTGGAATAGTGCACCCAGGTGATATTTATTAATGTGAAAATAGCAGGGTAGTTCCGTATTTTAATTATTAATAAAGAATATCTAGAAAAAATTATAGAAAAATAATCTGAACTTTGTTGTCGTAGAAACCAGCTGTGCCCTACAAATACTGTAACACCAAGTGTAGGGAATGTGCTTAGCTCTACAAATCCCAAAAACTAATTGGTTTCTTGCTGTGATTTTCAGAGTGCAGTTGTATTTCCCAAGAAAATAGCCACGGAGCAGCAATCCCTGATGCTGGTGAAGAGGCTCCTGGCAGTGGCAGTGTCCTGCATCACTTACCTGAGGGGAATCTTCCCTGAAAGTGCCTATGGAACCAGATACATGGATGGTAAGGGGCTGTTGCCACGGTGATTTGGAAAAACTGTTGTCATGGGGTTGTTTTTAAAGCCAGTTGGTGCATATAAATATTAATAAATTAAATTTTGTTGTTGCTGCTGCTAACTCAGCATTAAAGCTATGCTCACACTTGACAGTAATGTTAATTTTAGTCTCTTCTTCATATGTGCTTTTAGGCAATGAACTTTTAGTTGCACTTTGCCCTAAATAAATGTGGTTTTTTTTGGGTTTTTTTGAGATGTTTGTGTCAAAATTCTGCGGGAAGACAAAAACTCTCCTGGCTCTACCCAGCTGGTGAAGTGGTAGGTTGATTCCAGCAGGCAGGTAACATCTAAGTGCTCAAAGGTCCCTTCCTGGTTGTTTGCAGATCAAGGCAAAAAGTTCTCTCCCACATTTGTGTCCCAGCTGTGACAATGTTGTTTTCAGCTCAGGGCTCAGGAGAGCACAAATCTCTGTTTGCAGAGTGACTATTCTTTATATTTACTAAATAAATACCAAATATCCAACACTATGGATTTGTATGCTTCATCCCTCTGGCTGCTCATGAGCTCTGAAGGGTGCCCAGAAATGCAAACCTCTAAAAGTTGATCAGGAGCCTCAAAGCCACCATTTTGCACCTTCAATTGAAAGATCTCTCACAGGTTTTGTAAGAGTGGCACTGTCAGACTTGTTCAGAGCCTGCTGGAGCACTGGCTGGGATTGCAGCTGCTGCTCCTGCTTTTGCTCCTGCTCACAGCAGCTCTGAGTTCTGCTCCAGGTGCTCTCCTTGCTTTTTGGGAACCTCTCTGCCTTGCTTACATCTCCCTGTATTCTGTCACCTCCAAAAAGGTTCTTTTCCCCCTTTCCCCACTCCTGAAAGGCGTGGGAGGGATGCTGCCCTCACCCCCTGGCATGCTGAGGGGTTTGCATTTTGGGACAGGGATATTTGAGATATTCCACGTGTGGGGTGAAGCTTCACACCAGATTTACTCATCAGAAATACCCCAAAAACCCGAGCTAAATGAAAGCTGCACTTAGCAAAGCTTGAGGGCTCAGAGTTGATGCTAAAGGTGATTCAGCCACGTGCTGTCACAAAGGGAGGGAGGGGAAAGCTGGGGTTTGCTGATGGATCTTCCCTGGGGAGGCTGAGCTGCACAGGCTCCCTGCTTTGGGGGGGCTGTGGCACTCTGGGCAGTGGTCTTTCCTTCACACCAAACACAGCTTCTGTTTGCTGACTGTAAGTGAAAGGAAAAAATAGGGCAAGAAAGAATTGAAAGGAAAAATTGAAAAAAAAATGGGGGAGTTTTGATTTCCTGATTGGGTGTTGTATAAAAAGGAAATAACATCTAAATAAAAGTTATAATTCCTTTATGGTTCAGCAGTGTTGCTGTTCAGCTGAATTATTGATTTATGGTAAAATCATGGGATGGTTTGGGGTGGAAGGGACCTTGGAGCTCACCTTCCTCACCCCTCTGCCATGGACACCTGCAATTAGACCAAGCTGCTGCCCTGATTAATTAATACATGTGTTGGAAGGTGTTTGAAGTATTATAATATGTATTTACTGATAAATCATTTACCTCCAGATTATGTTTTTCATTGATTTCCCTCCAGATTATATTTTTAATTGATTTACCTCTGGCTTATATTTTTAATTTATTTACCTCCAGCTTATATTTTAATTGATTTACCTTCAGATTATATTTTTAATTGATTTCCCTCCAGGTTGTATTTTTAATTGCTTTACCTCCAGATCATATTTTAATTGCTTTACCTCCAGATTGTATTTTAATTATTCTTTCAAGAGGTTGGGGTGATTTGGTGTTACAAAGCTTGTATCACTTCTAATAAGATAAAATGATGGGATAAGTGTTATTTATTGCTCTAATACAGTAAAAGTAAACACAAAAGTTTCGTTTTTTTGGTGCTATTAGTGAGAAACAAGTGACAATTAGCAGTAGCTGGCCAATATTGTTTGGTTTTTGCAGGATGTTAGGATGCTATGATGCCTTGCAGAAGAAATACGTAAGTGCTCCAGTCTCCTTTCAGTTGTGTGGAAAGGTTGGTTTCAGTGCAGTGCAGGGCTGCTCAGGGAGAGGCACAGCTCACTCAGCTGCACTGGGGGATGCACAGGAATTTCTGCATCAAGCTCTTGGAAACAGCAGCTCAGAAAGCCAGAGAGATCTGTGGGTGTTTCCTTCTGCAGCTGAATCCTCTCCTCCACAGGAGAGGAGTGAAGAGGAAGAAGTTTTTCTTCCAACAGGCCTTGGTTGCCTGTGTTGGATTCCAGAGCTAGAGAAAAGCAGCTTGGGCAGCACAAATGGGCAATTAAATATATTTAATGTTCTTTTTTTTGTTGTTTTTTTTTTTCTCTCTGTTATGTTCCTGACAGCTGAGACAGATTGTCCTGGCAGTGAGTATCTCTGAAAGGCAGGGACTTGTTTTTAGGGGACATGCTTTGAGGGATGTGCAGTTCTCATTGTGATTCCTCTATTTTCTTTAAAAACACAGGTTTATACCCAGACAGAAGATCCTCAGGTAAACCTGCTGGAAATCTCACTGCTGATAATATGAATTTAATGAAATGTGGGTACAAGCAGGAAGATTTAACATGCACATTTATTAAAAAGGGGCATTTTGAAATAGCAGCTGTTAAAATGACTGGGGTCAGTGGCAATTGCACTGTGGAATTGCATTTGAGTATTCTCAGGCTGTGCAAGAAACCAAAATGTCATTGCAGGGTGAGATGTCCCATCCTGACTCTGCCTGGCGAGTCTGTGGGACTTCTGTGCAAAACACAAAACCCACCACATCTATTCCATGTGTGAAACATTTTCATGGAATATTTTATGCTAAAAACTTCAGCTGATTTTCAAAATATTTCATCATGGTGATTCCTGGAAAAGAATCATCACTTTATGATGTTTTAAATAGTTTTATGCATTTTTACTGTTAATTGTTAGAGGATTAGGAGCACATGTAAGTGGATGGGAGTTGGGCTGTGGTTATTCCTTTAAAGGTTGATAGGTTACTGAGCAGAGCTGCAGCAGGAGTTTAGGATTAGTTTAATAATTACTGGTTTTGTTTGCAGACAGTCACAGAGTGTTACCACTTCAAGTTCAAGTACACCCACAATGGGCCACTCCTGGATTTTGGCAGGTACAGCCCTGGGACTGCTCCATGTCCCTTGGACACAGCTCAGTGTCATAACTCTGCATCTGACCTCTTTCCTTTTCTTCAGACTGATTCTATCAACACCCTTACTAAAACACAATCACTTTGGTTGTGCCCATAACTTTAACATCCCCTTGGACACAGCTCAGTATCACAACTCTGCATCTGACCTCTTTCCTTTTCTTCAGACCAATTCTATCAACACCCTTACTAAAACACAATCACTTTGGTTGTGCCCATAACTTTAACATCCCCTTGGACACAGCTCAGTGTCATAACTCTGCATCTGACCTCTTTCCTTTTCTTCAGACTGATTCTATCAACACACTTAGTAAAACACAATTAATCACTTTGGTTGTGCCATAACTTTACCATCCCCTCAGAAGGTGATGCTGGGTGTCAGAGTCCGTCAGAACTCACGTGGCTGCTGTGTTTTTAGCAAGGACAGGAAGTCAGAGAGCCCCATCAGCTGTGCAGACACCAAGAAGGCCAGCATCCTCCTGATCCGCAAGATCTACGTCCTGATGCAGAACCTCAGCCCCCTGCCCAGCGACGTCTGCCTCACCATGAAACTCCTCTACTACGATGAGGGTACGCTGCCAGCTCACCCTCGTTTATCAGGCTCTGCAGAGCAAGACAAAAATGGGCGTTTTTCAGTTTTTCAGGGGATAATCTTTGTGGCTGCTGGGATTTGTTAAGTGAGGTAGTTTCACGTGTGGCTGTGTCACAGGCATGTTTAATGAAAAATCCTTTTGCCAGGATCTTTTCCCCTCAGAAGCTGGGAAGCTTCAGCTTCTCCATGTTTTGCTGCTTTGGAATGTGATTTGGAGAATTGTTTACCCAGCATGTGAAATTGTTTTCACTTGATGACCAATGACAGCCACCTGTGTCGAGGCTGGGAGCAGCCACAAGATTTTGTTATTCATTCCATTCCTTTCTAGCCTTTTGAAAGATCCTTTCTATTTTTTAGTATAGTCTTAATATAGCATTATAATATATAATTAATAGAATATAATTATATAATAAATCAGCCTGAAACATGACCCTCAAACCAACCAGATGGCTGTTTCTCAGGACAGGGGATGGGATGTGATCTCACAGCAGGAACACAATCCTGGCACTGATTTCACTGCATTTGGCTGGGGTTTAAAACATTTGCAGTTTTCCAGAGTGTGTCAGCCTGTAGCATAATTTGTTAAGTGAGGTTGCTTCACGTGTGGCTCTCTCAGGACAGGTTGAATCCCAAGGGGATGGGATGTGGTCTCACAGCAGGAACACAATCCTGGCACTGATTTCACTGCATTTGGCTGGGGTTTAAAACATTTGCAGTTTCCCAGAGTGTGTCAGGCATAATTTCCCAGCCTGGTTCTAGTTTGATGGCTGTCCAAATACCTGGCTCTGCTTCTGAGTGTGTTACTGCCTTACAAAGACAAATCAGAGCTTCTGTTTTCTCTCTATATCTACAACCTCCTCCAAAGAGCTTTAACAGGCCTTTGCCTGTTGTGCAAAGAGAAAATAACCTGAATATTGATTATTACTCCCTTCCCCACACACAATTTTTTACAGTAACTCTCTGTATTTAAAGAAGAAAAGAGTTTAAATTAGTTTTGCAAGAACATGTTCCATTCTGTTTAATTCCATTCTGTTTAGTTCCATTCTGTTTAATCCCATTCTGTTTAATCCCATTCTGATTAATTCCATTCTGTTTGATTTCTCTGCAGTCACACCCCCTGATTACCAGCCCCCAGGTTTCAAGGAGGCCAGGGACGAGGGGCTGCTCTTCAAGGAGGAGCCCATGTACCTGAATGTGGGGGAAGTGCCAACACCTTTCCATCTGCTGAAGCTGAAAATCACCACTGAGAAGCAGCGCATGGAGAATGTTGACAAGAGCATCCTAAAGCAGGGAGAGACTGCTGAGCCTCTCCAGCTGTGTGGGGAGAGCAGAGATGGCCCAGAGGAGAGCCAGGACATGAATGTAAGAGCACTGCCTTTGTTTTGGGCAGCTTTTTGAATTTTTTGTGGTGTGTCACCTAGAAAAAGCCCATTATTGTTTCACTGTGTGTAAGCCAGAACCCCCTCTATTTTCAGACATGGTTGAGCAGGATAATGTATCTTAAATTAATTTTTTCCTTAATTTTCCTGCTCCACTTTGCAGCCTGTCACTGCTCAGGCAGTGCCTGTGCACAGGAGCAGCAGAGGGACAGATGGAACCTCCTCCTCCCGTGTCACAATCACTTATTTCAGTTTATTCCACCACAAATCCATTTTAAAAATGTGTCCTTAATCATCTGAGTAGGAACTTCCATTCTTGTGTGTCTGCAGTCAGTGACACACCTGTTTCTTCATCCAGGAGGATCCTGTCTTGGGTAATGAAGTGCAAGATAAGAATCATGTGAATATTTCAGAAGCTCAAGGTAATATTTATATATATTGCATTATCATTTCAATATTACAATATTTATATTATAATTTTTATTATATTATATAATAATCTGTATACAAAAACTACTCAGTGCAAATCTCCAATCACCCAGTGCAAAACAACAACTAAATAAACTATTTAGTGCAATACAACACCAATCTTTAATTATATTTTATGTTATAATTTTATTATATTATAATTTTTGTATTATATTATCTGTTATATTTTTCAAACCCCTCAAATTTCTATATTCAAATTTTTATTTTTTTCTTCCCATCTATGACTGTGCCTTTATTTTTTATCAGGGCTTCATTCTGTGAAACACTTGGTTAACAAAAGTTAACATGTTAAAACATGATTAACATATTTTCATGGTACTGTTCAATATTCTGATCTTCTGTTCCATTTTATCAGCTAAGCTAAATTGAATAGGGTTTATATTTAGAAATAAACTTTATTTGCTTTCTCTACTCTTTTTGTTACTAATAATTACTGATTTATTTAATTTTTGATCATATTTAGTTTGCACATTAAGCTCGGGGAGGTTTTGTCCTGTTGAGCTCATTTTTGCAGACTTGGAAACAAAATTCTCTTTGCAAAAACCACTTTGGCTCCTTTTTTTGTAGTTTTTTTCTTTAAATTTCAGCTTTCTGAGCTTCAACTCAATTCAGAAATCCCATTTTTAGCCCAGAACCCCACACCTTCATCCAGAGGGAGCTGCTCCCGGAGCTGGGACTGTTGTGTTCTTTGTGAGGGAGCTGACTCCACTTTTGTTAGAAGGCTGATTTATTGCATTATTATCTTTTATTAAAATGATATATTAAAACTGTACTAAACTATAGAAAGATACATCAGAAAGCTAGAAAAGAATGAATCATAAAATTTTGTGACAGATTAGAGTCTGACACAGCTGGGCTGGGATTGGTCATGAAGTAAAAACAATTCACATGGAACCAATCAAAGATGGTTCCACATTCCAAAGCAGCAAAACACAGGAGAAGCCATCAGATAATACTGTTTTATTTTCCTTTGAGGCTTCTCATCTTCTCAGGAGAAGAAATCCTGGTGAAGATACTTTTCATAAAATACCATGATAACAAACAACCTCACCAGAGTGTGTTTTGTTTCATGAACCATTCTGTGTTTGGCTCTGCTGCTTCCTGTGAGTGCCTTTTCCAGCTGAGGGTGCTCTGGGGACCTGCTGCCCTTTCTCTGAGTGCTGCAGCTCTTTGAGAATGGCAGGTGAATGTTTTGGGATGGAATCCCTGCTGCCCTCTCCCTGAGTGCTGCAGCTCTTTGAGAATTGCAGGTGAATGTTTTGGGATAGAATCCCTGCTGCCCTTTCTCTGAGTGCTGCAGCTCTTTGAGAATGGCAGGTGAATGTTTTGGGATGGAATCCCTGCTGCCCTCTCCGTTTTGGGATAGAATCCCTGCAGCTCTTTGAGAATGGCAGGTGAATGTTTTGGGATAGAATCCCTGCTGCCCTTTCCCTGCAGCACCTTGAGAATTGCAGGTGAATGTTTTGGGATAGAATCCCTGCTGCCCTCTCCCTGTGTGCTGCAGCTCTTTGAGAATGGCAGGTGAATGTTTTTGCCATCACAAAGTAGAATCCCACACTGGGTTGGGTTGGGAGGCACCTTAAAGCTCATCCAGTGCCACCCCTGCCATGGCAGGGACACCTTCCATGATCCCCGGGTGCTCCAGGCTGGCCTTGGGCACTGCCAGGGATCCAGGGGCAGCCACAGCTTCCCTGGGAAATCCATTTTAATTTATTTAATCCCAAATATCTAAAGTTGGTGAGCTCAGGAGTCAGGAGTTAGATACTCACCCCCCAGTTCAGGTGCAAGGGGATTTTTGGGCAGTGCTCTCACAGAGCCATGCAATGGTTTGGGTTGAAACAGATTTTAAAACTCATCCAGTGCCATGGCAGGGACACCTTCCACCATCCCAGCCCTGTCCAGCCCAGCCCTGGGCACTCTCAGGGGCAGCCCCAGCTGCTCTGGTACCTGTGCCAGGGCCTCACCCTCCCAGGGAACAATTCCTTCCCAAAATGCATCAGGGTAAAGCATTCCCTGTGCCCTGTCCCTGCAGGCCTTGCCCAAAGCCCCTCTCCAGCTCTCCTGGAGCCCCTTTAGGTACTGGGAGAGGCTCTGAGCTCTCCTTGGAGCTTCTCCTCTGCAGGATGAACAACCCAACTCTCAGCATTTCCTTGGAGAGGAACTTTAATAAGTACAAGTTCTAGCAAAGCATTTTTGTTAGGATGAATCACACAGAAATGAGTTTCCTCAAGTGTTTTTGCTAAGACTCTAAATAAAATCTGTCAGTAAATAACTGTCCTGGCTCCTCCAGCCCTGGAAGATCCCCACTGCTGGCTTTTAATCACAGCTCCAAAATGTGCACCCAGCCTGACTCCAGCTCAAAACATGAGACACCAAATTGTCCTCAGGGATCTCAGGAGCTTCCTTTTCAGATTTTAGATAAAGCAGAGGATGGTTTGTGTTCACATTTCCCACTTTAGCCCTGAGGACTGAACTTTGCTGCCAAACAAACTGAAGGAGGAATTGCTGCTTGTTGATCTGCTCCTCCTGGAGAGGCTGCACACAAGCATCCAGACAATCTGGAACCCATTTTCTCTACAGGAATGTTGGGTTTGGGGTGGTTTTGAGAAGAAACACTTGCAGCTTTGCCAAACCAGCTGCCATTTCCATGCTGTTCAAAAATAATGGTGGAAATGTGTAGGAAACAGCACGTGCAGATCAGAATTTTTGTCTTGACAATGCCAGTAGGCTGCAGAACTGGAATAACCACATGAAGGTGTGCCTGATTCTTCCAAAAAGTCATAAAAAATGCAGGAAACTTTCTTGTCCTGGGGAGTTGGCAAATGTTTTATTTACAGGAACTACAAGGCACAATTTGTCAGCCTGGAATTCTTCTGTTGTTTCCACAGCTGAAGCACAGTCACCCATTCACCATCCCATCCTTCTGTCTGTATCCTGGAAAAACAGCCTGAATTAGGAACAGCAGAAATCTGCCTGGAGCTGCCTGTTCCCCCCTGAGGAACCCCCGAGGGCCTGCTCCTGCAGCTGCAGGCAGTGAGGGGGCTCTGCAGCTGGGGGTGCTGCTGGGCTGGGCTGCTGGGGCAGGAGCTGGCCCAGAGTGGCCTTTTCTCTGTCCTGCAGCTCCAAACAGGCTCCTGAGGCTTCAGGGTTGAGTGAAATCCCCTCAGCAGGGCAGGGTGTGAGGGAGCTGGGGGCTCAGAGTGGCCTTTTCCATGTCCTGCAGCACAGAACAGGCTCCTGAAGTTCCAGATTTTAATGAAATCCCCTCAGCAGGGCAGAGTTTGAAGGAGCTGGCTGAGAGTGGCCTTTTCCCTCTCCTGCAGCACAGAACAGGCTCCTGAGGCTTCAGATTGAAACAAATCCCTTCTGCAGGGCAGGGTGTGAGGGAATTGGCCCAGAGTGACACAGAACAGGCTCCTGAGGCTTCAGGGTTGCGTGAAATCCTCTCAGCAGGGCAGAGTGTGAGGGAGCTGGGGATCAAACCCACTCCTCCAGAGATGCTGGGTGTAAGCTGCTCCTGCAGTGGGCTGGAGGTTGGGGCAGGAAGTGGCTGAGTTAAAGAATAAATTCCAAGCTTGATGGAGATCAGGCTGTGCTCTGGAGGCAGCTGTTCCCAGCAGTTCTGAATTGTTCCTGGAGCAGAGCTGCTGTTGTTTGCTCTGGCTTGTTGGTGTGTGAACACCTTTATTTAACTCTCCAATTGTTCTTTCAGGAAAGAACTCAGCTCCTGAAGGGGAAGCTGGAGGGATCCAGACTCCCCCCCGTGTTTCTAACACTCAGGTAGGAACACTCTGCTCTGTCACCTTCAGCTTTTTCTGGAGCTTCTGTGCAGCTCCTTCCCTCCTTTGGCTAATCTGCTGAAAACTTATTTCCCACAGTTTCCAGCAACAAAAATTCCTTTACATTTCACTTCCTGGTGTTTTCCAAAACTGTTCTAAAGCACTGACAAAAGGCTGTTCCTCTGAAATGCAGCTCTCAAAACAAACAGATGCTGGGACTGTTTCTGAGTGAAATGTAATTTCCATGTTAATAAACTGCCTAGTGGGAATTCCACTGCTAATTCTGACAAACCAAAGCTTGTTTAAAACTTGATTCAAACTTCAAAATTCAGCTTTGTAACTCAGGTTATATTCCCTGCATGTAGAAGTTGGTGGCATTTATACATGGAGGACTGCTTCACACAGGTCCTTAAGATTTCTTAGAACAGGATAGCTGTAGGTAAGTGTCAGTGACCTCCTGTACCAAACCAGCACATGCTTCTCTCTGCCAGGGCCCTGCAGCACACCAGCTGTAAAAGCTGTGATTTCACCATTTTAATACCCCCAGATTTCAGTTTTAACTGTGCAGAGCAGTGATGCCCCAGCACTGAGCCCTGCTGGCTGTCTCCAGTTTTTTCCTGCTGTAACAATGCAAAAATCTATTTTCTGATTCCAGGTTGATCACTTGACTCGTAAAACATCTGAGCTGATTGTGTCAGAGAGCAGGACAAGAAGTGGAAAGATATTCCAGAGCTGCATTGTTAGTATCAGTTTTTCTTTAGTTCTCATCATTTCTGTTGCAAACAGTGAATAAAACTCAGAGCTTGCATTTGCTATTGACAGAATGAAATCCTCATCACTTCCTAAATTCCCATTCAGTTCAACACTGTCAAAAAGAATTCTGTCCAAAGAGTTGGAAGCTGATTTAATGCAGGTAACACAGGTTGAGGAAGATTCCTTAGTTTTGGTTGATATTTAGCCAAATTTCCTGCTGGTTTCAGCCATCAGCCAGGGGAGTTTGTGGCAGCAGAGATCCCCAGCACAGCTCACACAGTGCTTCCTTTGCTTCCACTTGGGAAACACTTTGCCAAAATTATAACCTCACCTCTGTGACACCTTCATTGCAAGAAAAATCCGTTTTTGGACTTAAATCAGGTCAGTCTGGCAGGCAGTGCTGCTTGTGGGGACCCAAAGCCTTCACAGCTGGGGCAGTGTTTTGTGTCCAGGCTGGAATTTGACCTTTGGGCCCCATTTCTGTGCTGCTCCTTCACTGCCTGGCTTGGCAGCTCTGGGAGCTTTGGGGGCCTTCACCAGGTATTTGGAATATTGGCAATGCTGAGTGAGGAGCAGATCCTTCTCCAGAACCCCTGGGGTGAATTTTTCTCTCTTCTCTTAGGCAAGAAATTGTTCCCTGTGAGGGATGGAATTCCCAGAGCAGCTGTGGCTGCCCCTGCATCCCTGGAAGTGTCCCAGGCCAGCTGGGGACACCCTGGGACAGTGGAAGGTGTCCCTCTGGCTGAGCTCTGAGGTCCCTCCCTGCTTCCAACCAGTCACATTCTGTGCTTTTTCTTACTCAGTGATGTGACAAAAAAATAAAAAAAAGGAAAAAGAGGAGGTTGTTCTGTTTGCTCACCATCCCTGTGTATTTTTCAAAGAGATTTTACTGAACTTAATAATAAATTTATTAAACAAAACACAATTGTTTTAAATAATCAAAATTACAGTGGAGCTGAAGGTTCATTGCCATCTCTTCAAGGGAGAGTCAGAAGCAGCAGGACTGAGCTCTCAGGGGGTTGTAGGGTGCAGAGCTGGAGTCATGGAATGTTTGGATTTAGGGACCTTAAAGCCTGGCCAGGGTCACCTTCCACCACCCCAGGCTGCTCCCAGCCCCTTCCAGCCTGGCCTGGAACACTTCCAGGGATGGGGCATCCAGGGAATCACCCGTGCCAGGGCCTGCCCACCTCACAGGGAGGGATTTCTCCCACAACTCCAACCCAAATTTCCCCTTTTTGAGTCTGAGCCTCTCCACCTCACAGGGAACAATTTCTCCCATATCTCCCACCTCAACTTCCCCTTTTTGAGTCTGAATCTCCCCACCTGACAGGGAAGGATTTTCCCCATGTTTCCAACCCCAATTTCCCCTTTTTGAGTCTGAATCTCCCCACCTGACAGGGAAGGATTTTTCCCATATCTCCAACCCAAATTTCCCCTACAGGTCCTTAAGATTTCTTAGAACAGGATAGCTGTAGGTAAGTGTCAGTGACCTCCTGTACCAAACCAGCACATGCTTCTCTCTGCCAGGGCCCTGCAGCACACCAGCTGTAAAAGCTGTGATTTCACCATTTTAATACCCCCAGATTTCAGTTTTAACTGTGCAGAGCAGTGATGCCCCAGCACTGAGCCCTGCTGGCTGTCTCCAGTTTTTTCCTGCTGTAACAATGCAAAAATCTATTTTCTGATTCCAGGTTGATCACTTGACTCGTAAAACATCTGAGCTGATTGTGTCAGAGAGCAGGACAAGAAGTGGAAAGATATTCCAGAGCTGCATTGTTAGTATCAGTTTTTCTTTAGTTCTCATCATTTCTGTTGCAAACAGTGAATAAAACTCAGAGCTTGCATTTGCTATTGACAGAATGAAATCCTCATCACTTCCTAAATTCCCATTCAGTTCAACACTGTCAAAAAGAATTCTGTCCAAAGAGTTGGAAGCTGATTTAATGCAGGTAACACAGGTTGAGGAAGATTCCTTAGTTTTGGTTGATATTTAGCCAAATTTCCTGCTGGTTTCAGCCATCAGCCAGGGGAGTTTGTGGCAGCAGAGATCCCCAGCACAGCTCACACAGTGCTTCCTTTGCTTCCACTTGGGAAACACTTTGCCAAAATTATAACCTCACCTCTGTGACACCTTCATTGCAAGAAAAATCCGTTTTTGGACTTAAATCAGGTCAGTCTGGCAGGCAGTGCTGCTTGTGGGGACCCAAAGCCTTCACAGCTGGGGCAGTGTTTTGTGTCCAGGCTGGAATTTGACCTTTGGGCCCCATTTCTGTGCTGCTCCTTCACTGCCTGGCTTGGCAGCTCTGGGAGCTTTGGGGGCCTTCACCAGGTATTTGGAATATTGGCAATGCTGAGTGAGGGGCAGATCCTTCTCCAGAACCCGTGGGGTGAATTTTTCTCTCTTCTCTTAGGCAAGAAATTGTTCCCTGTGAGGGATGGAATTCCCAGAGCAGCTGTGGCTGCCCCTGCATCCCTGGAAGTGTCCCAGGCCAGCTGGGGACACCCTGGGACAGTGGAAGGTGTCCCTCTGGCTGAGCTCTGAGGTCCCTCCCTGCTTCCAACCAGTCACATTCTGTGCTTTTTCTTACTCAGTGATGTGACAAAAAAATAAAAAAAAGGAAAAAGAGGAGGTTGTTCTGTTTGCTCACCATCCCTGTGTATTTTTCAAAGAGATTTTACTGAACTTAATAATAAATTTATTAAACAAAACACAATTGTTTTAAATAATCAAAATTACAGTGGAGCTGAAGGTTCATTGCCATCTCTTCAAGGGAGAGTCAGAAGCAGCAGGACTGAGCTCTCAGGGGGTTGTAGGGTGCAGAGCTGGAGTCATGGAATGTTTGGATTTAGGGACCTTAAAGCCTGGCCAGGGTCACCTTCCACCACCCCAGGCTGCTCCCAGCCCCTTCCAGCCTGGCCTGGAACACTTCCAGGGATGGGGCATCCAGGGAATCACCCGTGCCAGGGCCTGCCCACCTCACAGGAAGGGATTTCTTCCACAACTCCAACCCAAATTTCCCCTTTTTGAGTCTGAGCCTCTCCACCTCACAGGGAACAATTTCTCCCATATCTCCCACCTCAACTTCCCCTTTTTGAGTCTGAATCTCCCCACCTGACAGGGAAGGATTTTCCCCATGTTTCCAACCCCAATTTCCCCTTTTTGAGTCTGAATCTCCCCACCTGACAGGGAAGGATTTTTCCCATATCTCCAACCCAAATTTCCCCTTTTTTCAGTCTGACCTCCCCACCTCACAGAGAACAACTTCTCCCATATTTCCAACCCAAATTTCCCCTTTTTGAGACTGAACCTCCCCACCTGACAGGGAAGGACTTCTCCCATATCTCCCACCTCAACTTCCCCTTTTTGAGTCTGAATCTCCCCACCTGACAGGGAAGGATTTTCCCCATGTTTCCAACCCCAATTTCCCCTTTTTGAGTCTGAATCTCCCCACCTGACAGGGAAGGATTTTTCCCATATCTCCAACCCAAATTTCCCCTTTTTTCAGTCTGACCTCCCCACCTCACAGAGAACAACTTCTCCCATATTTCCAACCCAAATTTCCCCTCTTTCAGTCTGAATCTCCCCACCTGACAGGGAAGAACTTCTCCCATATCTCCCACCTCAATTTCCCCTTTTTTCAGCCTGAACCCAGCACTCCTTGTCCTGTGCTGCAGTTCCTGCTGGACACAGCTCCTTGATGCAGCTGTGGCAGCAGGAAAACAAACATGCCAGCCTTCCTCAGCGGGTCACTTCTGCCAGGAAATAGCATCCAGATGTTCCTGCAGGCCCAGCACATCTGGGCCCTGGCTGGTCACACCTCTGTCCTGCTGAGGCTGTGCTGAGCCCTGTCCTGGCCCCACGGAGCTGCTGCAATTCCATGTCTTGGTTTTCCTTGGCAGGTGCACCAGGCTGAGCTCTCCTCCAGCCAGGAGGTGCTGCCCAAGAGGAGGAAGCTCAGCGAGCCCAAGGAGCAGTTCTAGTTGCCCAAAAGAAGAAGCCCAGCCAGCCCCAGGAGCAGTTTTAGTTGCCCAGAAGAAGCTCAGTGAGCCCCAGGAGCAGTTTTAGTTGCCCAGAAGAATCTCAACCAGCCCCAGGAGCAGTTTTAGTTGCCAAAAGAAGCCCAGCCAGCCCAAGGAATCCTTCTAGTTGCCCAAAATGAGCTCAACAAGCCCAAGGAGCAGTTTAGTTGCCCAAAAGGAGGAAGCTCAACAGGAACAAGGAATCCTTCTAGTTGCCAAGAAGAAGGAAGCTCAGCATGCCCAAGGAGAAGTTTTAGTTGCAGTTCAACAAGCCCAAGGAACGGTTTTATTTGCCCAAAAGGATTAATCTCAACAAGCCCAAGGAGCAGATTAGTTGCCAAAAGAATCTCAACAAGCCCAAGGAGCAGTTCTAGTTGCCCAAAAGAAGCTCAACAAGCCCCAGGAGCAGTCTGAGTTGCCCAAAAGGATGAAACTCAGTGAGCCCCAGGAGCAGTTTTAATTGCCCAAAAGAAGCTCAACAAGCCCCAGGAGCAGTTTTGGTTGCCCAAAAGAAGCAGCTCAACCAGCCCAAGGAATCCTTTTAGTTGCCTAAAAGGAGGAAGCTCAACAAGAACAAGGAGCAGCTTTATTTGCCCAAAAGAATCTCAGCGAGCCCAAGGAGCAGTTTTAGTTGCAGTTCAACAAGTCCCAGGAGCAGTTTTATTTGCCCAAAAGGATGAATCTCAACATGCCCAAGGAGCAGTTTTAGTTGCCCAAAGGAATCTCAACCAGCCCAAGGAGCAGTTGCCCAAAAGAAGAAGCTCAGCAAGCCCAAGGAATCCTTTATTTGCCCAAAAGGATGAAACTCAACCAGCCCAGGAGCAGTTTTATTTGCCCAAAAGGAGGAATCTCAGCCAGCCCCAGGAGCAGTTTTGGTTGCCCAGAAGAAGCTCAACCAGCCCCAGGAGCAGTTTTATTTGCCCAAAAGGAGAAGCCCAGCCAGCCCCAGGAGCAGTTTTGGTTGCCCAAAGGAATCTCAGCCAGCCCCAGGAGCAGTTTTGGTTGCCCATCTCCAGTTCTCCTCTCCAGTTTGCTTGTCCACGTTGGCTTTTCAGATCTGCTCTGCTCCATTTGCAGTCCCGTGTGTTTCAGGGAAGGAAAGCTCAGGAAGCCCAGCTGAAGAATTCCAAACTCATTCTGTGCAGGACCAGCAATCCTTGGATCTGGGGTTGTGGGGTGGCTCCAGGTGCTGATGGTGGTGGAGGAAGTTCATCCCCCAGCACAAGCTTTCACCTGTGCCTCTGCTTCTGAGCTGAGGCCTGCCTGCCCCAAAACCTCCCCAGTTTTGGGGTGATTTCCCGAGTTTCCACAGGGCTGCGCTGCCAGTTGTTCTGTTGCGGTTTTTAGGTGACAGGTTTTGTTTTTCCTGCGGGGACATTTGCAGGAGCTGGATGCTTTGCATTTCTTCCAGACCAGAAGCACCATCGAGCCCTCTTCGTGCCTTAAATTCCAGCCTCCCTGCCAGGAATTTCGGTGTCCGTGCTGGAATTCCGGGAGCCTGGCTGTCCCCAGAGCGATTTTTGGAGGGGTGGGACACGGGGCCGAGCGCTCCTGCCCCAAACCTTGTCGGGAACGGGAGTGAAGCCGCTCCCGCCGCCAGGGCGGGGGCAGCGGAGAATCCTCGCCTGTGACTTCGTTAACGGCGGTGTTCGTCCTCGGTGCTCTATTAAACGGCGTTCAGCTTTGGCCGCGTGTTCCGTTACCGGCGGGGCGGGAGCGGCGACAGCGGGACGGGAACGGGAGACGGGACGGGAGCGGGATGGGACACGGGAACGGGAATGGGATGGGAGAGCGGGACGGGACGGGAACGGGAACGGGAGACGGGAATGGGAATGGGATGGGAGAGCGGGACGGGACTGGAGCGGGACGGGACACGGGAACGGGAATGGGATGGGAGAGCGGGACGGGACGGGAGAGGGGGACGGGACACGGGAATGGGAGACGGGACACGGGAATGGGATGGGAGAGGGGGACGGGAACGGGAACGGGAATGGGAATGGGATGGGAGAGCGGGACGGGACTGGAACGGGAATGGGATGGGAAAGGGGGACGGGACACGGGACAGGACTGGAGCGGAATGGGACACGGGAATGGGATGGGATACAGGACGGGACACGGAATGGCGAACGGGACACGACGGGAATGGGGTGGGACACGGGACGGGACACACAGGTTGGGACTGGAGCGGGGCTGTGACACGGGATGTGACACGGGATGTGACACGGGACAAGAACGGCAACGGGAGCCGGACACGACACGCGGGCGAGGGCGGAGCCACCCCTGACTGGCAGGAGGAACTCCCGCCCCTCGACCCAGCCGCGCCGCTCTCATTGGCTGCTCCGACGCGCGCGGGCTGCCATTGGTCGTAGCCGCGGCGTGGGCGGGACCAGCGGAGCCAGGAAGCGGCGGCGGCGGCGCGGAGGCTTTTCCTGCCCGCGGCCCCGAGCGGAGCGGAGCGGAACGGGACGGACCCGCCGGGCCGCGGTGAGAGCGGGCAGCGGGCGGGGGGCCTTGGCAGCCCCCAACCCTCGTGAGGGGGGCGGATCTTCACCCGCGGGGCGCTGCGGCGGCGGGAGGGATGGAGCCGGGCCGGGGCCGGGGCCGTGACAGGGGCGGTGGGATGGGGCCGGCCCGGGACGCTGCCGGTCCGTGCGGCCTCGGGGGTCCCCACACGGAACGGGGGCTGCGACAGAGCCAGCGCCGTGAGGGGGGACGGGGACCCCCGAGACCCCCGGGAGCGGGGAGCTCGAGTGCTGCGGGGAAGGGACCAGCGGCCCTGGGTCTGGGGGTTTGGGCCTGGAGAATGGGGTTTGGGTCTGGGGAGGGGGTCTGGGTGTGATGGAAGGGGTTTGGGTCTGGGGGAGCTGGAAATCCTGGGGAAGGGGGTTTGGGTCTGGGGGTTTGGTTCTGGGGGGCGGGTTAGGTCTGGGGGAGCTGAAGATCCTGGGCTAGGAGCGTCCCCGGGTCTGGTAGAGTGGGTTTGGTCTGGGGGTTTGGGTCTGGGGGAGCTGGAGATCCTGGGGAAAGGGGTTTGGGTCTGGAGAATGGGATTTGGGTCTGGGGAGGGGCTCTGGGTGTGATGGAGGGGGTTTGGGTCTGGGGGAGCTGGAGATCCTGGGGTAGGAGCGTCCCCGGGTCTGGTAGAGTGGGTTTGGTCTGGGGGTTTGAGTCTGGGGGTGCAGGTTTAGGTTTGGGGGTTTGGGTTTGGGTCTGGAGGAGCTGGAAATCCTGGGGTAGAACGGACAAGTGCCTCTTGGTCTGGGGTCTTGGGTTTGGAGGAGTGGGTTTGGGTCTGGGGGAGGCGTTTGGAAGAATGGTTTTGGGACTGGGGGAGTGGGTTTGGGTCTGACAGTAGAGGTCTGAGGGAGTGGGTTTGGGTCTGGGGAGGGGGGCTGGGAATGGGGGTCTGGGGTTTTGGGTCTAGGGGGGTCTGAGGGTGCTGGTTTGGGTTTGGGTCTGGGGGTTTGGAGGAGTGGGTCTGGGAGAGGGGGTTTGGGTCTGGGGGGAATTTGGAGGAGTGGGTTTGGGTCTGGGCATTTGGGGCTGGGAATGGGGGTCTGGGGATGAGGGTTTGGATCTAGGGGGGCTGCGTGGGTGGGATTGTGTTCGGGGGTCTCAGGGTGAGGGGAGAGGTGAGAATCTCCATGTTTCAGAAGGCTATTATACCATATTATACCATATTATACTATATTATATTATACTATATTACTATACTAAAACTGTACTAAAAAGAATAGACAGAAAGCATCCATCAGAAGGACAGAAAAGAAAGCAATGGAATAGATAACAAAATCTTGTGGCTGCTCACAGCCTCAACACAGGTGGCTGTCATTGGTCATCAAAACAATTTCACGTGCTGGGTAAACAGTTCTCCAAATCACATTCCAAAGCAGCAAAGCATGGAGAAGCTGAAGCTTCCCAGCTTCTGAGGGGAAAAGATCCTGGCAAAAGGATTTTTCATAAGATATATCTGTGACAGGTGGGTTCTTCCCAGTGTTCTCCCTTAGAACCTGCTTGGGATCACAGGGTTGTGGCATGGGTTGGGTTCACAGAATTCACAGAGTCACTGGGCTGGGAGAGACCTTAAAGATCATGGAGCCCAAGAGCTCAGCTGGGTGTTGGGAGGGACTGTGGAGCTCATCCAAACCCTCACCATGGCAGGGACACCTCCCACCATCCCAGGCTGCTCCAAGCCCTGTCCAGCCTGGCCTTGGGCACTGCCAGGGATGTGCCAGCTGCTCTGGGCTCCCTGTGCCAGGAGATGGCACCCTGAGCTGTGCGTGGGGCTGACAAGGGCTGTCCCAGCTGCTCTGCCTTGGGGACAGTGGCAGGAGGTCACAGGTGCCTTGGGGACAGTGGCAGAGCAGAATTGGGGTTGTTCTCTCCAGGGCTGAAGCCATGGGGTGAAAGGAGGCTCAGCTGATTTATCAAAGGGTGAACATCCTCCTGTGCACCCCAAAACAGCAGCTGAACACTGCTCTGCTCTTTAAAAATCCACGTGGGGAGGAGCAGAGCTGGGCTGGGAGCTGCAGCAGCCACCGTGGAGCAGGAGCTGCATCTCTGCTGCCTTCCTGGGCCTGGCAGGGGTGGGGATGTCCCTGCTGGGAGCTCCAGGTGTGCCTGTCACCCTGGGGGAAGGAGATCCTGGTCAAACAGAGTTGCTTTGTGCTTATCAGCTGCTGGGAACTGGTTAGTCAGCTCTGCCTGGAAGGGGAAGATGCCTGCTGTGGAGTTCTCTGAGCTGCCTGTGCCTTGACTTCACCCCTGCTTCCTTCTCCTGCGTCAGCTCGGGGAAATGTGTGGCAGGGAGGGTGGGGAGGCCCTGGCACAGGTGAAATCAGTGCCAGGATTGTGTTCCTGCTGTGAGATCACATCCCATCCCCTGTCCTGAGAAACAGCCATCTGGTTGGTTTGAGGGTCATGTTTCAGGCTGATTTATTATATAATTATATTCTATTAATTATATATTATAATGCTATATTAAGACTATACTAAAAAATAGAAAGGATCTTTCAAAAGGCTAGAAAGGAACGGAATGAATAACAAAATCTTGTGGCTGCTCACAGCCTCAGCACAGGTGGCTGTCATTGGTCATCAAGTGAAAACAATTTCACATGCTGGGTAAACAGTTCTCCAAATCACATTCCAAAGCAGCAAAGCATGGAGAAGCTGAAGCTTCCCAGCTTCTGAGGGGAAAAGATCCTGGCAAAAGGATTTTTCATAAGATATATCCGTGACAGGTGGGTTCTTCCCAGTGTTCTCCCTTAGAACCTGCTTGGGATCACAGGGTTGTGGCATGGGTTGGGTTCACAGAATTCACAGA